TTGTAACCCTTCCAGTACAGAGAAATGGCTGGATGAGAGATGACACTGATTTAGATGGTACTGTTCTCAGGTGACCTGAACATTACTCTTGTTCAGAATCCTAGAGTCATTTAGGTTGCCAGGCTTCATGTTCCTTCCCGCCTTTCTCACAGATGAGAGTAAGAGATGAGATCACCTGGTCTTTTCCTCCTGCTGAGGCTCTCACACGCCGTAACCAAGTCCTCTCTTCATGCAGTACTTTGGGACAGAGTGAAGTCTTTGCCATAGTGAGCTGATGGAATGTTATGCAGACATAGCGTCCAGTGATCTCCAGCATGTCGTGCAAGTATTTTAGAACAAACACCCCCCAATGTCTGCTCACAGAGGCTGACACGAGCTGTCTCTGTCTCAGCCTCCCAGGGGCAGTTTGCTCTGGGGGGTCAGTCCCTTCCTCCCGGTGATTTTTCAGCCCTCCCCCCGGTGACGCTGGCAGCTCCACGTTCCCTGCTCGCAGACGAGGTTTCCCTGCCTTGTCCCGATGGGCATTATTTGCAGCTGGCTGCACATTTGGTACTCCCGAGGTCAGCTGGTGTGTTGCTTTACCATTACACATTTTTTGCCAGCTTTAGTGTCGCTTGCAGTGTCCTCAGCAGTGCCCATTCCCCGTCACAAGTGGCAGTTTCCTGCTACTTGCACTTGGGCCACTTCAGCAGGGCTGTGGAAGAAATGGTTATGTGCAAATGAAGTGACAAAAATGTTAAAACTCCTGCCCCTACATCACTGGAATGCACCCATAGGATGCCCCTGATGTGCACCAAAGATATGTCAGTTCTTCTTCCAGACCTTTTTCTGGAGCTGAACATGTTCCAGGATGTCTTTATAGGTAGCAATGACACAACCATGTGTGAGCATTGAGCATGAAAATCTTTAGCCACCAAATGCCTTGGAAGTGCAAAGTATGAAAACATCTATTAATTTTCTCAGCTAATAAATTCTTGTGGCCTTAGATACTACTCCAGAAAGACTGTTCTCCTAAAATGAGTGTGTAGTTTCTTTAAGGAAAATGATCTCTTAATTCCATAGGCTTTTCTAACCAGAAGGTTTTTTCCAATTTACAAATGAAGCACCTCTGCAGCCAAACTTTTCCCCCTCAAAGATGCAGTTAAAACAATGTTTGATATTCCCAAGGAGTGGGGTTTTTTTCTCCTTAGATTTTCAGGTGTTTCATTGCAGGAATTTATTGCTTCATTTAGTATTAAATTGGACAAGGGATGTTTATTTGAGGCATTAATTTGTTGAGATCTTTCTTCTGTTGATCAAATTACTAATGTGTAAAATGCAATGTCTCTCAAAGAATCTTTTAGGCCTCAGTGCAAATTAATGAGGTTGCTATTTCTAATAGAAATGGTGTCAAACTATGATGAGTCTATTGACTCTTTTTTTCTCCTAAGCAGCAGAAATTCAGGGGTTTTACTTACTCCATACAGCCCTTGAAAACTCCAAAGTATAAGGAAAAGAGTGGAATAAACGAGGCAAGGTGTGCCAGAGATGGCAAGAGAGGCACAGAGAAATGTGCCAAGCTTTGTTTAGTGCAGGGGGTGAATGTTATCAGACACTCCCTGTCTGTTGACAAATTCTGGGATGCCTGTGCCATGTTGTCGCCTTTTTTAATGCTCTCTGCGCTCCTTCCCTGCGATGGTTACACTTTCTGGGCTTCCCTTTTGTTTCTCCTCAGCAAACAAAATAAAGAAATCGCAAACGGGGAAAACAAAAAAGCCCCCGATGCTCCCGAACCCCAAATGCGGAGCAGGCACCGAGTCACCCTTGAGTCCACCAGGTGGCAACGCGGAGTAAGGAATTCCCTCCCGATCGAGCAGCTTAGGGTGGGGAAGGAAGAAATAGTTCATTTTCTTGAGGTACGAATCAGTTACATGTGTTGAAATGCTGCCACTGCACTGAATGGGGGTTTCCAAGGGAGACGTGGGCTTTCTCTTCCCTTGTTCTCCTTAAGTCAGCAAACAAATCAGAGAACCACGGAATCAATCAAGTTGGAAAAGACCTCTGAGCTCACCGAGTCCAACCTCTGACCCAGCACCCCTTGGCACTGAGCGCCACAGCCAGTCCTGCCCCGGACACCTCCAGGAATGGTGACCTCGCTGCCTCCCCGGGCAGCCCATCCCAATGGCTAATCACCCTCTCCATGGTGGAATTCCTCCTGATGCCCAGCCTGACCCTCCCCGGGCAGCCCATCCCAATGGCTAATCACCCTCTCCATGGTGGAATTCCTCCCGATGCCCAGCCTGACCCTCCCCGGGCAGCCCATCCCAATGGCTAATCACCCTCTCCATGGTGGAACTCCTCCTGATGCCCAGCCTGACCCTCCCCTGGCACAGCTCGATGCCGTTTCCTTCCCTGTCCCTTGTTCCTGGGAGCAGAGCCCCACCTGGCTCCACCCTCCTGTCAGGGAGCTGGACAATGATCAGCTCAATCCTGAGCCTTCTTTTCCCCGGGCTGAGCCCCCCCAGCTCCCTCAGCTGCTCCTCACAGGACGTGTGCTCCAAACCCTTCACCAGCTTTGTTGCCCGACAATTAAAATGCATATTTTTCTTTCAGTTAAAACATACAGTTTTTGTCTTCTGCTGTGTAAACATCTAAATTGAGCCACTTATAAAAAGAAATAATATCAGCATGAGATGATTCTATGATAATGCTCTTTCATTTCCTTGAAAATTTTGTTGTCATGGAGCAATAAATCCCAACTGAATCCAGAGGCTTCTATAAATGACTCCAGAATTGCCCACAAGGCAACACAGAGCAAGAAAATTGTCATTGTTGCTTAACTGAAGACATAGGAATTTGCACTGATGTCTTCTCTTGCACTTCCTTCAGGGAACACTGGAATTATACCAAGGTTCCCTTTGTTCAGGGTAACATCCTTTAAATCCAGACCAGCTCCCTTGACTTCCGTGCAGTTAATGTGGATTCACACAAATGTAAGCAAGGATGAGGTCTGGCCCTAATTTAGGACACATCTGCCAGTGCAGATGGTGCTGAGAGAGTTCATTGTCATGTTCATTGTCCACCTTTGTTCGAGACTTTTTTGAGCATGGAGTGAACCCAACAATTTTAGAATCTTACAGGCAGTTTGTCCCTCCTGGCTGGGGAGTTCTGCCACAAGATGGGCTGGTACCCAGCTGACAGATGATGGCTTAGAAAAACTGCCACATGGGAAACAGTGGGTAAAACTGTCACCCTGGGACCAAAAAAAACCCAACCCAACCAACCAAACAACAACCAACCAACCAAAAAAGTTCTACCTTTAAATCAAAAACTTCCTTATGATCAACAGCCTTAAGCAGTTGATTCTTAAAACTGGTATCTTTTTTTCCCCTGTTTGCTGTTTTGTTGCTTTAAAAAGTGCACGAGGGAGCAATGCTTTCTAATCAAAGTTGGAAGAGTATTTTGTACCACATGAAAGTGGCTTGCATGCCACGAAGTAGAATATTTCTTTTTTTTCTGCCATTCAGTATGTCCTGCTGTCTATTTTTTATTTGATTAGGCATATAATGTGTCTATTTGCTGTCTTAAGGGGAAAAAAAACCCACTGCTGGTTGCTCTGGAAGGGTCACTTGTCTAAAGAATTCAGGATCTGGTTTTACAGGAAACTGTTTGGAGAAAGTATTGCTTTTATGATGGAGAAAGAGATATTGCTGTTGTTAAACTCTGCTTTACTGTGGAGTCAGAAACCTTACAGGTTCTGTGCATCATTATGTACTGCTTTAAAGGATAAAAACTCTGGAGTAGAGCAGCACCAAGCTTGTACAACTGACACCACAGTCTAAGTGTTACAAATCAGATTCCTGGGAATAAAAGAGAAGGGTAAGATCTTTTCTGCCCTAATCCGATTTACTTGAGTACTTTTGCCAGTACAGGTTTGGAGTACATTGTAGAGTTTGAAGGAATAATACAACTCATTCTTATTCTACAGCAGCACAAATCCAGGGTGCCTCCTGTATTCCCTATTCTTCCTAAAAAGTTGTGTGAGAGCAAAGTCAAACCAAACACACTGAACATGACATGCAGAATTTGGAGCACAATGAGACACATATGGGGAGGAAATTGCATTCTAACCATTTGATTACACATTCCAAACAGATTTCTGGGGCCCACAGCCTTTATACCCATAAAGGAGATGGATTTGGGAATGTAACCTGGGTGATGACACCCATGTAAATCTGGAGTTGCTGCAGTGACACCACGTTAGCCCCAGTAATTCTGTAAGACCTTCCTGATACTTTCTTTTTCCTCTCAGCCTATTTTAAGTGGATGATTAATAATTTTTTAATTTGAGCTCTTACGTAATATACCATTTGTAACAGCAATTACTCATCAGGAATATTCTCAGCTGAACAATTCGGTCCCACAGGTCACATTCAGATTTCCAGTGGTTTTGCTCCTCATGTAGTTACCCTGAATCATGTTAGGGTTAACCAGAAGCAGAAGGCTCATGTTTTTCAGGATGCAACCCAGAAAACAATTCAGAAGGCAGTTGTAACCTCACTTAAGGCTGCTCAGATGAGAACCACCCATGGTACAGACTGAATGCAGGGTTCAGATATTCAGTTCCCAATTTTCTCTACGTGAGAGGTTTCAAAAGTTTTTAGAGAGAAGGAGGTAAAGAGCCAAGCCAGCTATCAATGATCTGGGTGGGAAAACCCCCCTCCCTTTACACCCACAGCACTGAGAACTCCAGTGGTACCCATTATCAGGTAGAAACAAAAGCTGCAACACCTTCCTCACCTGGAGCAGGTAGGGGCTGGGGGATTGGCAGCACCTGAGCAGGGGGGGCACTGAGAATATAGGGAGGTGCTGAAGGGGTGGGCAGCTTCTGCCTGCAGGCACCTGGTGGGGACAAGGAGGTGTGGCTGCCTGCAGGGAGGCAGTGGATGTGGGAGCTCTTCAGCAGGGGCTGCATCCCAACAGTCTTTTTCCTTTTGTGGAAGTTTCTGGAGGGCTCAGGCATGGGCAGCTCTTGGATTGTAGTAGCATTTTGCTGCTTGGGACAGCTGTGTGCAGGCAAGAAACATCTATCTGCTGCCTCTTCTCCTTTTTTTTTTGTTGCTCCTCTTTGTGCCTGTTTCTCTTAGTTTTTTGTTTGTTTGCTTGCTTTGTCTTGGGTGTCTTCTTTCTGCTGTAGGACCTATGTTGGGAGTTGAGGGATTCAGCCCAGTACTCTGCTGGAAGACTGTTAAAGTTTCCCTAATGAAGCTGGGGGGAAGTGTTTGACATTAACTTCCTTCTAATACCACTTGATTTTTCCAGTGCCTCTCCCAGACAGTTTTCTTTTCTGCAAGGCTTTTCTAAATCTCTTGCTCTGTATGTTAGTAAGTTTGGTCTTAAAAACCTTATTAACGCTCTTTTCTGCTAAAGGGTTGCAGAACTGACTGTGCTGGTGCTGCCTGGAGGAGGAGGCTGTATGTGGGACCTTAACTACAGGGGTCTGAGTCTCTCCTGTAACGAAGCCTTGACTGTGTCCTCCTGAGCTGATGTGGCCCTTGTGCTGGAGAAGCAACATCCTTTCCTGCTCTCACTAAATCCTTGGGTTGCCCACCTTGCTTTAAAGCAAAACCCCGAACTCAGACTGTCCCAGGGCTGGTTCCTGCTCAGCTGCAATTTGCATCCTCCCCTTTTTATGCTTCAGTGTTGTTTGTTAGAACAGCCAGACCCCCTCTTTTGAGTCAGAGCTTGTACAGGGAGAGGAGAAAGCTCTTCTGGTTTTGTTGGTTTTGTTCAATATGCTTTTTTGGTAACTTTGTTTTTCAGATCAAAGGCTGAAGCCTCAAATTGCAGCCCCTCGGCTTGCTACAAACAATCCCACTCTTACTACAGTTGCTCTAGAAAAACCTTTCTGTGTGTTTGACAGCTCACTGCACCCAAATAAGTCTTACTCCATCTACTTGTATGCAATGAAGGAGTCAGGTAAGTGGCATTATGGCTCTCCAGAAGGTAACTGCCTGATTGACCTTTGCATGGAATCCTTCACAGCTGGATGGGGGTGGGCCTGAACAGGGAAAGGAGAAAAATCTGCCAGCCCTTGCAAGGACTAATTAATTGATTTATTTTTTAGACTAAGGCAAGTCATGCTAGACCTGTGGTCACAGATGCCTGGCCCATGGCTTCATTCACAAAATGAATTTCATAAGTGCTTGGCAGTGGCCAGGAGCTGCTTCCCCTGATCCCTGCTGCTCTGGCAGACTCTTGGAATGCTACCTGGAGCCACTCTGTGAGCTGGCAGGAATAAATGCCTTCCTTATGTCACACCTTCCTCCCTGAATGCTGGATGCAGCTTCTTTTTCTGAAGGAAAGGGGACCTTGAGGGGGCAGCAGTGAAATTGGACAACAGGCAAAAAGCTCTTGAGTCTTTCACTGCTGGTTGTTGCCACTCTGGACCAAGTGGAAGGAGCAGGCCCTGGGTGGGTGGAAGCTGTAAGCACAGAGCCCATCCCAGACAGCTGGGAAGGGGTGGCCTTCTGAGACCTGCCCTGTGCCTGAAGGGCACAGCCTGGTGTGTCTAAGCCAGGCTACAGCTGCAGTAGAATGATGTAAGTCTGATAAGTAGATACACCTGCAAGTATGCTTTGTGTTGGAAATTACATCAACCAGCCCAGATTCCTGCACAGTTGGGTGAATCTGTACAAAATGGGCTCCACACACAGAAATGTCTAATGCTGCTTTTAAGGCAAGAAGATGCAAACTTGTTACTTGACAGACCGGGAGGAATTTTGTTTGGATTTGTCTCTGGTCTGCAGGGAAAGACATTGGCTCACCCTTGGATGTCTGCTGGAGCAGGGAGAAGGAAAAATTTAAAAAAACTTAATTTAAAAAACTTAAATTAAAAAATTAAAAATTTAAAAAAACTTAATTTTCTTAACACCTTATGCTCAGGTCTGGTAAGGAGATGCATCAGCACATGAGAAAGCTTGAGGATAAGAGGATTTCTGAAGAAGTAATATGTAGCTTTTGGCTCTATCCTTAATGTTGCTATGAGACTTGATCTACCCACTAAGGTTACAAAACTAAACAAGCAAACAAAACATAACAAAACCCAGAAAACCTCCCATGAAAGCATCCTGTTTATGCATCAACTTTTGTTCACAGAGCCAGACTAAGAGTTATGAAAGTGGACACTGGGAGAGCAGGGAAACATAACTGTGAGAAGGTTAATAATGTGGAGAAACAAACCTAAGGGAAGAGAAAGTCTTAGGTAGTATCTGTTTTCCTGCTATTGGCTCCCACTTGAAGGGAGGGGTGTCAGAACTCCTCTAACTTACCACTGACTCTCAAGTTGTATTTCTAACCTGTACCAGAAATGTGTCCTTTTTAAAACAGGCTAAATTTTACATTGGATCATAGCTAAAAACTTCTCACAGCACTTGCAGGAACTCTGCTCCAGCAGAATGCTTCCAGGCAGAAATGGTTCCCACTGTACCACAGGTTTGGAAAAACTGGCACTCCTGTGCTGCTGACAGCACTGAACAGCTGGAGGGGCTCTCCAGAAAAAAATTAACCTGCAGTTACAGAACTTGGGAACATCCCTTGGGACTTGTGCCTTGCCTTTGCAGCAGGGAAGGGTTGAGAGGTACAACTAAGCTTCCAAAGCCTGCTGGATGCAGAGTCATGCTTTGGTGGAAGCTGGGAGGGCCTTCAGACTCCCCTGGAAGCACTGGAATGCCTGGCTGGCCAGGGATGGAGGTACACATGTGTTCCTGCAGCCCCTACACCATGCAGGTCTGGGATGGCTCCAGCTGCTGTGTGACCAGAGGCTGAAGGGTTTGTGTGCCAGGAGACAAGAGCTGTGACTCAGGAGCTCTACCTTGGCTGTAGGACCAAATCTGGAATGGCAGGATTTACTGGATGTTTGTTAGAGCCACACGTGGTGTGTGGGAAGAGCAGCCTTTGCCACCCTCCTTCCTGCTCCATCACGTTCTCCTGGGAAAAGAGGAATTTTGGGAGGGTAGCTACTGGCAAATATTGCTCCGAGATCCTTCACAGTTTGAGGGACAAGTATGAAAACTTCACCAACAACTATGCAGGAAGGGGTGGGATCATGACACAGCCAAACTGGTAGCTCATTTTTGGTTTCTCTTGGGAGTGTTTTGGGGTAGAAGAGCGAGATGCCAACCAAATGGAGGGTGAATGGAAAGGGCTGGGCTTGTTTGGACAGCCTTGCTAAGAAGCCTCTCTCCTGCAGCAGGTGCCATGAGCTCCCTGGTGACTGAGGGCAGCGGCAAAGCACTGGACAGCACCTTCCAGCAAACACACGGGGGGCAGCTGGGGCCCTACAGGGCTGCTGCATTCCATGTGCCCAGCTGTGCATCCCCTCCCAGGCTTGTGGACGCAGGAGATGTCAGCAAAGTTTCTGATGTCCTGAAACAGTACCTCTTCAGAGTTGGGGATGATGGGACGTGTCTGTACGACCCAAACTTCCTCGATGTCTGTAACCCGCCTCTCGCACCAGGCACGACTTACAGGTATCATTCTCAGCTCTTAACAGGTGATTGCTCCTCTTAAAACACAGTGGGATGCAGCACTGAGCCTGTAAGTTCCTCAGCAAAGGTAAACTGTGGATTACAAGCCCATAGCTGAAGTGCTCTATCACAAGTGCAGCCATGAAGGTGGCTGGCTTTGCTCCAGCACCTTGCAGAGGGTGCTCTGTGGTGCCCCAGCAGGGCTGAGCTCTGCCAGGGCAAATTCATGGGCCACTAGGAAAATTCCTGTGTGACCTGCTAGATCTACTCCTATGTAATTCTGTGACAGCACATGATTTGAAACTGCTGGTAGAAAAGGATTGTGACTGGAAAGTTGTTGAGATTATTCACCATGTATTTTGTATTAGAGGATTCTGCTGAACTGCAGATGTGCATCTGGCTCTGCTTGCTTTGTTCTGATGGGATTCTGAGCAGCCAAAGTTCTCCTTGGTCTCCAGCTCCAGGAAGCCCCTCATATTGCTGGAGACTGCCCAGTGAGGGCCAGGGAGCTTGCAGACTTGCCTGAGCCTGCTGCCTGGTGAAACCAGCCATCCAGGGAATTGGGGCACCCTGCCAGCCCTTACCCAAACACTCATTTTGCTGTTGCCAGCTGTTTAAAACCAGAGTGAAAATGGCAGTCACATGGAGCCATAGATGCTTCTGAAAAGTCTGTGGGCTCTTAGTTTTGCAAAAACTGTCTTCTCTCTTCGTTTCTGAAATCGTGGACTGGAAATGTAATTTCTTTGCCAAATCTGATGTTGGCCTGGTTCTTCAACAGGCTCCTCTAGCAGGGAAAGTGCCAAAGGTCTCTGCTGTTGGACAAAGTCTTTGACCTCCATATGGAAATCAGAACCACTTGCTGTCCTAAATTACAAAGCTCTTCAAACAGGGAATAGCCAGCTGGGGAAAACTGTTGTTGGGAATCTGTCATCTGCCAAGGCTCACAAGAACCAAGTGCAGGCTGTGCATGACAAAACATAGAATGTTTTTCCATAATTAATTCTGTCTGTTCTTTATAAGGTCTCTGGAAGTAATCAGCAGCCTTTAACTGTCTCCATCTAATGCTTTGACAAAACCTGAAGACTGGCCAGCTAATCCAGTAGTTTAAACCTGCTAGTGAGGGGGCTATTACAAATACCTCATTTAACACTTTTTTCCCCCTGCAGGTTTAAGTATGTCCTGGTAGAGAGCACTGAAGGGATTGTGAAAGACCAAACCCTCTGGTCTGATCCAATCAAAACCAGAAGAGGTAAGTCTGGCTTTGCTCAGCTCCTTTGAATAGCTGTGCTTGCCTTAGGACATTATTGCTCTAGGAGCAACAGCTAGTCCTTTCCTGAAGTTTCAGCAATTTTTTTCAGCCTTTCAGTGTTGGAGTAGCAGGGTTAAATATGGAATAATTTTCTACTTTTGCGTACTACAAAACAAATCTTTTAGTAATGATAAGGTTTGTATCTGCAGTTTGAGATTTGATGCAGATCATGGTATTTGGTGCTGTTGACATTTCTCAGGAATACAGATACTTGCCCTCATGGCAAACCTGCTGAGCAGAGCTCATAAACTTTAAATGCTGACATTGAGTCTTAAACCTGTTTCTCATAAATCATCGATGTCTTCAGGTACAGATATAATCACTTTGCCTCTCCTAGATCACCAGCTTGGTGGGAGTGCTCATGGTCAAAAAGAGATGACCAGGAACATTCCTTCCATGCTCTCCTAGTTAAACTTCCCTTGCAAGTTGACACCTGGCCTGGCCGAAGGAGTGGAGCCATGGTTGTCATCACATCCATCCTGAGTGTGCTCCTGTTCCTCCTGCTTGCTGGGATTCTGGCTGCTGTGTCCTCAGCTGTCATGTGAGTACTGAGCACCCCACAGCTTGGACTGAGAGCACCCACACCCTGCCACCAGCCACTGCTGCTGCTCTGGTTTGGGATGGCACACCAGTGCTGGTCACATCTTGAAGCTGGTAACAGGAAAATACTCTGTCACCATGACTTACCCTAAGATCAGCAGCTCTTGGAATTATTACACAGCTGTAAGGTTACTGAAGCCAGACTTTAGTAAGGACTGCTGGAAAAAAAAAACCCAGTGGACTTGCACCTACTTGTAGCCTGTATATTCTTTCTCACATGTTGCAGCTTTCCATCTATTCAGGAGCTGGGAAATTCTTAAGGAGTGCAGGAATTTGTAAAGATTGCATAATATCCTAATTAATGCCTTGATTTTGACTCATGCCCAGAGGAAATAAGTTACCCCTTGCAATAAATGAGTGAGGCTTTGCTGGAGCTGTCTAACACAGCTGTGCATGTTTCCCAGCCTGGTGTGCCCCCTGCCTAGGGAGATCCAGGAGGCCTGATTGATTCCTAAACTGAACTTTGGGATGGAATTAACTCAGTTTTAGAAATAGTGGGTATTGGGGCTTCACCCTCTTTCAGTTAGTTGAAAGTGATGCAAGTGCTCTGGGTTCACTCAGCTCTGCCAGGCTGTCCTGGGTTACAGATGGGAAAGCAAAGGATGCATTGCAAATGTTCATTTAAAAAATAAATCTGCTCAGTCTCTACTGGAACTTAATGAAGCCTTTCTCTTGCCCACCAGGAGACCAGGAGGTCCTTCTGCAGAGACAAGGTGCACCCCTCAGACTGCTCAGCCAAGTGACCCAAGACCACAGTTGGGCTCTGAGTGACCAGCCTGATTGCAGCCAGGGTGGGACTGCAGCTGAACTGCTCCATGTGCTGAGACCCACAGGACTGTCTCTTCTATTCAACATGAGTCCATAAAAGCCCCAGAACACAGCCAGGCAACAGGAGATGAGCAGCACTGATGAATTAAGGACAGCTGTTTTGAAGTCTTGCAGTACATGATACCTTGTCCTAATGAGATTTGATGTAGTTGATCACCTTGCATAGCATATAGCACATATGAACAGTGAATATCAAATGCCTGGGATAAAGAAAAAAATCTTAGAGACCCTCCAGCTCCAGGAGTTGGTCAGAGGTTGTCTGATAGAGACATCTCATCTGGAGTAAGCATTACTGCAGCCCTCACCTGCTCCTCGCAGTCAGACAAACAGGGTGGAGCTGGTTGTGTCTGTGTTCCCCCAGAGGAACTGATGAGGAATATGTACTGCTTTATTTTCCATTGATGCCAACTTCAAAGCCCTTCTTTACCCCTCTTGAGTATGTAGAAGCAACTGTCCTATGGTAGCAACAATCTGGGATAAGCACAAAGCTGTCATTGGTTATTCTCTTCCTAGTTTTCAGTAAATTTGTTAAACGGTGTCAGATAATAAATAAGGGTTCTGTTCTAACACAGATAGTTTGCTATCACTTTAATTACTGGGTGACCTTTCACTGATACTTATTTCAAGGAGGGGGACTTATTCTCTTTGGATTATGAAAATTAAAAAGTCTTCTGTCAAGAGTTGTAGCTTGGTGATTGCAAGACTGGGCATTTTCAACTTCAGGACTGAAGGGATATGTACCTGAGCTCCTGGTATTTGGGTTTTCTGACTACAGCATGGCAAAGCCCCCCTGCCCTTTCTTTTCAGCTACATGAGGGCTGAAGGGGGAGGTGGGTGCTGTCCTTCTGACTAGAAATGGATGTGCAAGTACCTGGGGTGATGTTTTTTCTGGGGTTTCACTCTTTTTTCTATGCAATCCTGCTTTTAGACAGGGAGAGAACTTCACTTGGAACAGTTCCAGCTTTTCCTAAGCCTGTTGGTATCTACTTGTTATGCTGTGAATTGGTGCCTGAGGACTGGGCCCAGGCAGAACAACAGACACCAAAACAGGGTCACTACTGCTTGTGCCTTTCCACATGGTATTGCCATTCCTCTAAACACAGATTTTCTTCTGCTCTGCCTTTGGCTCCTTGCTGGAGAAAGGGAATGGAAACTCCTGTTGGGAGCATATCAGAGGTATGTCCTGATCATTATCATGGTTGTGCAGAAGAAATACAAGGTGTCTGTGATTAAGAGCATTTCTTTAGTATATCTAAAACTAGAATATGTATGGATAAAATGAGAAGCTCCTGAGCCCTGTGTATTTACAATAAAAGCATCCACAGAAATGAGACAGAGCTAACAGTGATATTTGCTGGGTGTTTTCAAAGTATTGTTCATCTGCTCCCAGCTATTGCTTTGGGCACTGTATGACAGTTGTTACTCCCTCAGTGACCCTGCAAAATGTATTGGAAATGGTGATTGCAGGTGGTGCTATGTGGCAGAAAATAGAGACAAAAATGCCACCTATGAAGAGAGTTCAGGAACCACTGCTGAAGTCCTGCATACATTTAGCACTTTGGGGCTGTGCTTAGGCTTTAGCAGTGTAAGTGATGGTGGTGAATAAGTTTAACTTGAGACCTCTGAAGAAGAGAAGCTGCTGGTCTGCACTGAACTGAATGTGTGGCACCAACATCCCCCAAATCTAAATCCTAATCAATATAGAAAGAGTGTCTTGGCCCTAAGTAAGCAGCTGCCTGCCCACTGTCCTCCCTTCCCTCCTTGACCTTTTTTTTCAGTATCTGCCTGGGTGAGCTTCATGTGGAGCTGTCCTGGAGACAAAAGCATGCTGGATATTATCTGACACAAATAGTACCAGGCTGGCAGTTCTTTGGTGTACTGCTCAGGTGTAGCTGAAGCTGACTGTAGCCAAAGGCTGTTAAAATTAGCTGGCTGCTTTTTTGGAGGCAAGTTTGAGTTCCAAGACACTCCCATTTAAACAAGTGCACAGATGCTGCACATCCTGTCCTGTAATTAATACCATCTTCCACTGTTGCTGGCAAAAGTCTCAGCAGAATTATCATCTCTCAAAGGGTTTATAAAGGGTGTTCAAGCCATTTCTGCCTGCACTTGGTGATGTGCAGTGGCCTCTGTGTATGATTTATTGCCAGTTGTGACCCTGCCAAAGTCAAGTACAATAAGTTTCAACCCCAGTATTGCCAGTGCTCCTTGAAGGAATGCTCTGACCTTTTACATATTTGCCTGCAGGGGTTGTGTGCCTGCCTCAGCAAAATAACTGAGCTGAGGAGTGATCCTGTCTGCCTCTCACAGGGTGATTCAGCTTTCACAGCAGGTGAGTCAGTGACAAAGGGCTTTTGAAATGGTTTGGATTAAAAATAACAGATAAGTGTATGATGAGTTCTAGGGAAGAGTTTCCCCCATTCTGTGTATTACATCACTTCATGGGTAGGTTTCTAAATGGTTAAATGGAACCTGGTTTGGTGATTTGTTCTGCAGTAAAGCACCTCTGCAGAAAGCCAGTGAAGATGTAATGACAGAAGTAGGATGGCAGTATCACCACAGTGAGATCACATCAACCATAAATGTCCTTTGGTCTGACATTATAAGAGTAATTTTTAAGCCCTGGTCTCATCTCTTGAAGTTAAAATGTATGACCAAACTTAGCCAATGCCACAGGTATTCCAGATATCCACACAAACTTCTTTGCTTTCCTAAGAGGTAAATGTGAACCATGCAATTAAAAGTTGCTCTGAATCTGGGAGGACAAGAGTCTACCTGGAAGAAAAGTCCATCTGGATGAAAGAAGCTATTTAAATACAAGGGATTGCTATTTCCCTAATGGCATGGGTAGCTCTGGGAGAGATTCTGTTCCACACTTGGCTGTGTAATGTAAGCCAAATCTATTGGAGCCTGTCTGTTTTCTCCACATTGAGACACACACAGTTTAGCAGCAGAATGTATTCAGCACTGCAGCCCTTTGCCAGGAAACATCCCCACTGGGATTTGCTGAAGGTTTGAAAGATGATGCACAGCTGCAATGGGTTTATCAATATGTGATTCCTTCCCCCCACTGGCACTGACCCAGCTGGCCATAGCCCAGCACAAGGGCTCATCCCACAGGAGAACATCCCTCTGCAGCCCTGCTGGAATGATGGATCTGCTCTTGGCAGCTGCAGGAGAACCCCGGGGTTTATCTCCAAGTTTGGCTCAGGAACAGGAAATCTCAGCTTAAAAATCATGCAGTACTGATGGCACATGAGGTAATCACAAGGTAATGTGATGGGAATAATTCTATATGTTTCTGCATCACAATTAAACTCCAGTTTAATTAAGAGTTTCAGCCTGAACTTAGTTTCAAGCATGTGAGATTGGGGAAAAAATACTTTTTTAAATACACAGAATTCTAGCAAAAGGTATGGTTATAATCAGAAATGTGTTTTCACAAAGGAAAAAAAAAACCTGAAAACTGTCAGTGAACATCAAAACACTTTGTGTTGGTTTTGGGTTTTTTGGTGGGAGGAGGTAGAAATATTTCCTAGCTGAAACAGAGATGTTATAACATTACATTTGTCTTTTACTAGTTCTGTCCATCATGCTCCTGTGTGGAAAAGAATTTGCTCTGATGTTGCCTCTTATTTTCAACCTGGCCTTTCTGTCCACTGCAGAACAAAGCTATAGCAATGAGAATGGTTGTTTCTTATGTTGGTAATATTGCCCCAGGTACCCCTCACCCCTTTTCAGTTTATACCCAACCACCAAGGCAGCAGTGGCAGGTTTGGCAGCTTCACTTGCTGCACCAAGCAGTTCATGTTTGTGTTTGGATTCACAGGTGGTTATGACTGCCCTGGAACACCATCCATTGGGATACAGGAGTGTGCCACACTCACAGACACGTTCTGATCTTCAGTTCAAACCAAGGTGATGGAAGTGTCTCCCCCACCTCTGACTTCTGGCAGCTCACCTCCCTGTGGAAAAGGTTAGTTCCCTGCCTGTGTCCATCACACCTTGCTGCTCCAAAGGGTTTAAAAATTACTTGGAATTGGGCAGCCTCCTTGCATGCAGCCTGCAGTTAGCCTTGAGCCTTTGAATGCACTGGTCACCAGGCACCTCATCTTGCATCCCGAGGACACAGCTGTGTGTGTCTGTCTTTAGCATTAAAATGCACAGTTCAATTAAGGCAGCACTCTGGAGTCTTCAGGGGAACAAGAGAAGGAACAGATGGATGCTCTCAGAGGAACAGGGACTGCTAGAGCTGCAAGTAGATGAGTAAATCACCGATTAGGCCCTGCCCTAAGGGTAAGCTCACTTACCAGGACGTGAGAAATAAGGATGTGAAAAGCTGACCAAAGTTACGGAGAGTGCTGTGAGGAGTGGCTGCACTTCACATGTGGTTAGAGGGGGACTTGTGTGAGAACTTGCACAGTACAAAATAAATATTTTGTTGTGCTCATCCAGTTGCCCAGTTCACCCTTCCTTTCCTGCTACTCTTTGCAAGCTGTGATGGACATGCCTCAGACCATATCTGTGCATAACTTTCCTACTCTACAAATATACTTTTGGGCAGAATTATAGTGTCTTGTATTACAGGAGCTAAGGATCTTTTTTTAAATGGACACTGATAGAAACTATAAAATTATGACTTAGAAGCTATCAGGTGCAATCAAGTCTTCAAGTCATCATCATTTCAAATGTACTGCATCAGCCAAATGAAAGAATATTGTTTTGTTTAACTTGTTTAGAAGCTTTTACCTCTTAAAAAAGTATTGCTTATGCTAGAACAGATGATAGGAAGGTAAAAGGTTTTTGTGGTGTTTATCTGTCTGCTGTTTTAAACAACTTCCCTGACTGCATTCAACTCTTACACAGAACTAAATTCATTAGAGGACTACAGGAACAGGCAGTAACTAAAAAAAAAAATTACTGCAGAACTGATAGTTCATTCTTAAAACCAGAGAGATCCTTTTCTTGATCTACAGCCACCAATTTGGTACCTGAACACTCCGTGCTCATGTGTCACTCTGTGACCAGGATATGCATTGTTTTTCATGCTGCATCACTCAAGCAAGTCCAAATGTTCCCTGGAATGCAATGCATCAGCTTCACCAGCCTCTCCCTTGCACCAAACAGCTCAAAGAACAGTTCCCAACTTCAGGCATGTGAGATTTACAGCCTGATTCCAAACACACTAAAGTCTACAGGAGTCTTTGTTAAGACAGATGCCTTTAGACCAGTCTCCTCAAACGTCTTTGCTGGTTGAGTGATGAAAGGGCTCCATTTAAATGGGTACCCTAAAAATGGATTGAGTGACTGCATTTAGGATAAACCCAGAAGCACAGGTACAGATTTAGGGTATATGTGAAAGTAAAAATAAACATTTCTTAACAAGATAAGGACTAGTGACAAATTTAACCCAAATTCTGTTTTCACAACTCCCTCCAAACAATTGAATCCCATTGAAGACTTTGATTTAGATTCTTCAAATGACTAATACCACATGATCCTATAATTTTTCAGTCTTCCTCTGTTAAAACTATTATTGTTTTGACTGGAGTGACATAATATGTAGGGGGAAAACCCCTAATGCAGAGCTGAATGAAAGACATGGAGCATGCTGATTTCACAGGACTACTGCAGTGACCCTTTGTGCTCTCTTCAGTCTTCCCCAGGGTTGATTTCCCTATTTTGGTGGAAGATCTGCCCTAAGGGCTCACACAGGCTGGGGACAGTGTAATCTTTCAGCTGCACTTGGTTCTCTTTCCTTGCCCTTCCCCTGCACTGAACAGGCAGGCAGGGAGTGGAACCTTTCCCTGCTCAACAGCCTGGGGAGTTTCTGCTCCCACCTCACTCAGTGTTTGCACGTTTGTGCTGTACACAAACGGCACGTTTGTTTATTTATCTACATGCACGTGTGTATTGCTTTTGCCTCACGGGGTAAACGTAGCCAGGAAGAGAAGAGCTGTGGAACAGGGAGGAGGAGCAGGAAGGCAGGAGGTTCCCTACACCACTAACATTCTCCCCCAGACCTCTAAAAGCTTACCTGCAGGCAGGGTATTACACTGGCTTCATTACACAGACATTAAATGGTAAATCCAGTGCAATATCTTGATGGAAGTAGTCCATTATTAGATAAATTCATATTTAATTTTACTAAAATAACACTGCACTGACTGAAACCTAATCTTACTAAACTTAATTTCTGTAGCTGACATAGTTTATTTCAAGACATGCCTTCAGGTATTAGTCTGAACTTATGAGTATTTAAACATGTATAAAACCTTATCTATCAATTTTTAAATACTTTAAATTTTTAAATATTTTAAATATTTTAAAACATTTTAAAATCTTTTATTTTTTAAAATATATTCTTACACTGAGATATAAACTCAAACAAGACAGCTTTGAAATCTGCTGCACTGTCTTTAACATCTTGTAGTTTGGAGGTGGGTTGTTTTGTGTTTTAGGGCTAAGTTTAACAAGGGTCACTTGGAAGGCAAGAGCCAAGAACATCAGGGAGTGCTGTTCTGACTTTTGTTATTACATGCCTGCTGCTGTTTGGCTGCATTGTAGCAACATCTGCTGAATGCAAAAACAAACAAACAAAGAAAACCACAAAAAATCCAACCAAACAAAAACCACCCAAGTATAAAAGAGCCAAATGATGATTTCTTTCCACATAGTAGGAAGTACCAATATAAAATAACTGCTGTTAAAGTGGGTTCTGGTATTTTTTTTTTAATTAACAAAGAAACTTTTTTCTTTTTTCCAGGAGGGGGGAAAACCCTGGGACAGGTGCCCAGAGAATCTGTGGATTCTGCACCCTTACACGTTCAAACCTGGACAAGATACTGAGCAGTCTGACATAGTTCTGCTTTGAATGATGGACTAGATGATCTCCAGAGGCCTCTTCCAACCTAAGCTGTATGTCATGACACTGTTTACATGCTCACATATACACACCAGGAGCCACAGGTGTATTGCTTTTGCAATACAGAAATAAACTATTCACAAATGCACCCTTATGCAGTTAAAAATAAACATGGTAGGAATGGAATACGTAGGTTATACAGTAGAGTTGCCACACATGTAAACTAATACAAAGTGCAACTTCCAAGCCATTACCATCACCACACATGATGGGTTTTACCTTCCTCTGAGGCCATCTGACAGAGGCATCAGCTGCAGGGCACCGTGCCAAGCACTGCTTAAAACGTCCTGCGAGTCACAAAGCACTTGGCACAGGGTTCATCTCTAAAAGGAGTTGTTTCTGCTTGAGTACACCACTCTAGTTTCTAGGAACTGCTAAGATACACCAGGCACTGCCAGCTAAACCACTTTTGTATATACTGTTGTCCTTATTTGCACTGTGCAACATTTCAGAGATCCTCCTTTGGAAAAACAAGAGCTCCTTGTGCCATCTGTCCTGCAAGTAGACAGCAACCCTACCTCAGCCTCTGAGATGGTTCTCTGTTTGCTTTGGTACCCCTGAATTTGTTCTGCACAACGGGAAAAAAAGCTCCAAATCACATTCCTGGAACAGACTGGATTTTTTTGCATACTGCTGCACTTCTGTACAATAGGTTGTTAGCATGGATTTAAGTAACAAAAATAGAATGCAGGATTCCTCTTACATCATTCAAGAGACATTATTCAATGCCAAGATGAAAAAGATATTTGCTTGAAGGTAAACACTTATATTGTACATTTTAATACTTTAAGCCCACATATTCCTTTTTTTTTTTTTTAATTCCTTTACTGTGTTTGAAAACTGGGGGTGTTGCACGTGCCTGGTACGCTCCCAATATTATGCACCATCTTCTCATAAAAGGAATATTAACGTCATTATTTCCACAGACTTATCTACACGGGGCACTGAATCATCTGTGGCTGAACCAGCGTGCATTGTTTCACTTACAGTGTCCCTGGGCACTCCTCACACGAGTCCTGGATTCCCGCCTGCAGGAGCACTGGGTTCTGGGAGGATTTAAAAACCACTTCTGAGCTGAAAGAAGAAACAGGCAAGCCAGTAAGATTTGAAAATGCGTTTAGTTAACAAGATAAAACTCCAGGAGACACTCAAATTATTTTTTTTTTTAAGGGTAGTGTCCTAGTTTGATTTGGTACCTAGTTTGATTTGAGTCCCCCCGCATCAGAGCTGTGGGGCACCTCAACCCGCTTCCCCTGAAGGAGGAGGGCTCCTTTTTGTGGTGTTTGGGACAAAAGAGGGCTGAATACAGGGATACCTCTGGGAGAAGAGGGGGTGAGGCGGAGCTCGGGGCCGCAGGGTGCCCGGTTCCCGAGCGGGGAGGGTCGGCTGAGGGACACGGGGCTGTGAGGGGGCGATGGAGCCCCGGGGGTGGCTGAGG